TATTAGGTGGTAAACTCAGTTCCTGCGGCTCACTGTTAGATGACGTTAGTTGTAGGTGTAATTTATTTTGACATCTGAAACTGGCTGCATTTTAGAGGTTAGACATTTGTCAATAAAATTCAGTGCGAAGAGATTCATTTAAGCGAGCAGTGCTATTTTTTCTTTTGATTAAATATGGAACGTGATAAGTTGTTTTTTCGACATGTGCTGCTTCATTACTTTGACTTGAAAAAAACTGCAGCTGCAGCTCATAAATTGCTTTTCGAAGCTTATGGCAATTATGCTCCATCGGAAAGAACATGCCAAGTATGGTTTCAGCGATTTAAGAGTGGTGATTTTGATGTCAATGATAAAGAACGCTCAGGCCAACCGAAAAAGTTTGAAGACACCGATTTGCAGGCATTATTGGACGAAAACTCTACTCAAACGCTCCAAGAATTGTCTGCAGCATTAAATGTTACTCCGATGGCTGTTTCCAAACGTCTACATGCAATGGGAAAAATTCAAAAGGAGGGAAAATGGGTACCACACGAATTAACCGCAAATGCCATTGCGAATCGCTTAAACATCTCTATTTCTCTGCTCGCCAGGCAGAAAAAGAAGAGTTTTTTGTGGCGCATAGTGACTGGCGATGAAAAATGGATATACTTCGATAATCCTAAACGAAGAAAATCATGGGTAGACCCTGGCCAACCATCGACATCCACACCAAAGAGAAATATTCATGGCCACAAAGCAATGCTTTGCATTTGGTGGGATATGCACGGCGTCGTTTATTATGAGCTACTCAGACCGAACGAAAGTATCACGGGGGATCGATATCAATCACAATTAAACCGTCTGAATGAAGCATTGTTGGAGAAGAGGCCAGCAGTAGCCAGCAATCGACGTAAAGTTATGCTTTTGCACGACAACGCTGGACCACACATTACCAAAGCCGTCAAAGAAACACTGATGCAGCTTGAGTGGGAAGTTCTCCCGCACCCAGCGTATTCACCAGACTTAGCTCCTTCGGACTATTACTTGTTCCGGTCGATGCAGCACAGCTTGGTGGATACACATTCCAGAAATTACGAGGATGTGCGAAAATGGATCGACGAATGGATTGCATCAAAAGACCAATCGTTTTATCGTCGCGGAATCTACGCGTTGCCCGAAAGATGAGAAAAATGTATAGCTAGCGAGGGAAAATACTTCGATTAATGTATTTTTTGCTTTTGATGTCGAAATAAATGAGTTTTTTAAA